TTCCTCTCTAGGAAGTCTGGTGAGCTGTGGTTCACGCTAAATGTTTACAGTCGTAGAGCCGGGTTTAGTGACGGCTATTAGGGGCAGATCATTTAGTTTGAAACGATTTTAAACTTAGGGGATGTAGTTAAGAGGAGGCTGCTTTCACGGGGGGGGGGGGGGGGGGGGGTATGGGTTGGGGGGAAGGGGGGGGGGGGGTTATCGTCCTTAACGACTTACTGATAGTGTTTTAAATTTAATATTTTCAGTGACAGCAGTGGTACTGTCGAATTCACAAATTATGAATTACTGAAAAGTAGAAAATAAAACAACTAAATAGCGGCGTATCATGAATGATATGCCGCGGGTCGGCTCGTTTTTTTATTATGTTTAGTTTAAAGCGGGTCCTTTTTAGCGCAATTTCCATACTGACAATTGCGATTATTAACTCGTCAAGGATGGATGTGTGTCCGATGTGTGTCCGCAGCTTTAAGTCGTATCTCCTCCTCAACGAAGCAATATCGAGGACTAGTTCCAAAAGCAAATATGTTAAGAAAATCCGAGGATGATTGTGGGTCAAAAAAATTTCCGGAATTCCTTCCTGGATTTCCCGGAAAAGCCAAAAAAAACCTCGAAAAAATGCAGTTTTTGGCCCATATCTCGGCAACCAGACTACTTAGCGACTTGAAACATTATCAATCGATTCCTGCCATAATTAAGAACAATATTGCCGAAGAAAGTTTTCAAAAATATCCTTTCGTTCGGTCAGAAAAATTTAATTAAGGAAATTGCGCTTAAATTGTCACTAGACTTTTTATTAACTTGTTTTTGTTATTAGATGGATTATCTATAAACGTTTTATGCAAATAGTTTTGAGCAGAAAGCGATGACAGCCGATGTTAACATTAACTTTCTATATTGAAATTATATCCAAACTTCTGACTTTCTTCTTTTTATTCCTTTCGGCTGCCTAAGGAGCATAACTAAATGTGATTTATTTTAAAGCTTAAACCCTATCAATCCAGCATTCCCCATACATCTTTCGAACGATTTTCTGCATTTACCTTCATGTTGTTTTTTGGCTTCCCCTCCTCCTCTACCCCCGTGGATTCTACACCACTCTACTAGTTTTATTAACTGTCCTTCCGGGGGGGGGGGGGTCTCTATCCACCACCTTTCAGAGGCGTAGCGAGGGGGGGCGGGGGGCATATGTCCCCGGGCGCCGACCTTAGGGGGGGGTGCAAATCGAAAGTTTGAGGGGGGGTGCAAATGAAAAGTTCGAGGGGGGGGTGCAAATCGAAAGTTTGTCCCCGGGCGCCGGGGAGGGTCGCTACGCCTCTGCCACCTTTTCCTTTCTCTTATTTTATTATACACTGTCACCATTTGTCTCCGAGACATTGTAAAAAAAAAGACATCAATTGTGCTAAAGATCCTGAGTTGGTTTTGTTGATAATGCACTTGAATTTATCGCCACTGATTCTAATCTGAAATAGGTAGTTCTAATGGGCTGTCGTAAAGGGTGGCTAAACATCTGGACAGAAACTATAACACATGCATCCGGTCGATTGCTAAGTTTATGGTCACATATGCATGTTTTGATAAGTGCAGAAACAAATGCCCTGAACACACTTGTATTTATGTATTTACTGATTCAGTTTACTGAGATTTCACTGTACACATTTTACCCCTCCTATTCATACCTGCATGTCTACACATAGACCCCCCCCCCCCCGACCCCCCAGCCGTGTCACATTAGCAGATCATTCCATTCACATTGGCGTAGGTAGGGGGTTAGGTTTGGGGAGGTCTGCCATGGTGCCGACCACTAAAGGGGCGCCAAAAGGGGTAGAAATGTAATCAAAAAGCTAATTTTCAGCCTATTATATTACACAATGTACGATAATAAAATAAACGGCTGGGGGAGCTTTGAACACTGATTCATCTGTTTTCTACCTTTATTTTGTAACAGTTAAATGAATACCCTAAAGAATCAATGGCCAGTAAAATTCGTTTCAGACTTAGGTAAAACAAATTTAAAAAAAAAAAAAAACCTTTATAATAACAATCTTTTAAATACATTTAAAATAATAAAACAAAACAAACTTGCTTTCTTCTATAAAACTTTTGTCGTTAAAATATGTAAGAAAATTCATAAGCGACCAAAGCTTTTGATTCGAGAAAGCAGGTTGCAATAGGACGAAGATATAAAAGTACAGAAAGAAATGAGCGTTAAGTGTGGGGAAAGTAGACATACCTTACTTCTACAACACATTTAATCACAGGTTACGATTTCCTGGTGCTTTTGTATGGGTGATTTATTGTTTCTTGACATGAACTGCTTCTACGAACGTCTGGATTTGCTCTAGGTTAATTACATTGAAATTACAATTTTCTGAACTGTTCGATCGATAGTTATGTTTGGCCGGGGGATGAGAAAGGGGAGGGGGGTGGTGGTGGAGTGGGAGGGTACAATAGTGGAATCGAGTGCTAACAGAGAAAGGGGAGTAGAAGCAGATGGTTAAAGAAAACAAGAGTCGTTGAACTGGCACATCACGTGATAAAATGCAGCAGGTACGATAATTTGTACACCTCCGCAAACGAATCGTGTCCAAATTATTTTTTTCTTTGCAAATTTCAAGCGTTCCATATAAAATGAAGACAAAATAATAGTGTGATTTTTTTTTTCAACTTAAAGATCGGTGGCCTTTTCCGTGTTGCAACAATGAAAGCGGATTTATAATTATCCAACTGACAATCTTGTTAACAAAACTATTGATGTTTTGAATGCACGTATCAAGTACTTAGTGCAAACGATGAAGCCTTGTTTAAAAAACAACGGGTGACGTTTTTTAATAACAACTACACAAAGATGAATTTTGTTTCCTAGCAACATATTCACATCCAGGCTCCAGTCTCATAGAATGCATTAGCTTGCTTCTAATATCCTGATAGTAATGTTATCATATCGTCATAGATCTACTTGCTCAATAAAATACTAAGGCTAGCAGTGGGTATCGTGTATATTTTAGTAACACAGTCGATGTTTCTTGATGTATAATTTGCTACTGAAACTTTGGTGGACGGTGGCACTGATTAAAAGAGTATATATTTTCTATATTAGATATAGTTTTTTTTTCCTATTTCATCTATGGAAGGGGGAGGGACATTAAACTTGCTCCAGTGGTGGGGCTGGGAGGGGGGGGGGGGGTAGTGGTCTCCTCCAAGTAAGAGATATACTTAAGGCGATGCGATACAACCAAGATAGGAAGTGTAGGGGTTACGCCTCTGATTGTTGTTTTGTCATTTAATTATACAGCCAACAACCTCAACAAATAAACCAAGATAGGAAGTGTAGGGGTTACGCCTCTGATTGTTGAGTTTTGTCATTTAATTATACAGCCAACAGCCACAACAAATAAACCAAGATAGGAAATGTGGGGCTACGCCTCTGATTGTTGAGTTTCGTCATTTAATTATACAGCCAACAGCCACAACAAATAAACCAAGATAGGAAATGTGGGGCTACGCCTCTGATTGTTGAGTTTTGTCATTTAATTACACAGCCAACAGCCACAACAAATAAAACATCCTGTGCCACACTGTCCCATCTAATACCCAAACTAGTAATCTTATGCTAGATTTAAAAACAGGGTACAACAACCCCTCCAGAACAAGAAAATATTACTTACACTGAGAGATAAACATAGTCATTAAAATATTACCGGTTTGCTTCGTCTATGTTAATTATTTTAACTATATAACAAGGTATTGATCTCACACAGGATAATGTTAAGTTTGTTGACAAAATATCTCGTCTTTCAGACTTAACTTTTTTTTTTTAAAAACCGCCTTATCTTACAAATTATTCATCGTTATTCTCTAGACAGCTTGTATTATACTTAAAGTTGTTAATTTTTCAGGCTTTAGAGAACTGTGGACTCTTGTTGACACACGATTGACATACTCTGACTGTATGATTTTTATATTCTACGTCTAGACGTTTTTTTTTAAAAATTATTTGCTTGAACAATTCCATTGTCCCGTCTAAAATTGGATTTCATCCCCCCCCCCCCCCCCACCCAACAAGACAGCCTATGTTATTGTTCGGCTACCTTTGAAGCAGGATTTAACAATCATGATTCAACGACAGTTTGTATTCTTAATGAAGACATTCATATATATATATATATATATATATATATATATATATATATATATATATATATATATATATATATATATATATATATATATATATATATATATATATATATATATATATGATTTTATATTTTGTAAAGCCTACAGGCAGATCAATTTAAACAACATTTTTCAGCTTCTATAAGTAAAATGTTTATGTTCATCCCTCATTGTCTTTATGGCTCATTTAAGATATGAAATGGACACTCATCCTTCGAGTGCTTGTTGCGAATGTGCGCGCATAGCCCGGGGTCACGAGGGCAGCGTTTGAAAAGGTGAACATTTCACAGTTCTATTTATAGCACATGCTCAGATTAATGCAGGCAGCTTCGCTAAGCTTTTAAGTAATCGGCTGAACATAATGGTGATGTTTCTACCTATGGCACTCATTTGGCACGCCTCTCTCTTTGTATGTCTAACCATCTGGTCTTTGTTCTGTACATTGTCTTCTGAATAGGTTCTTTTGAGTTTATATAACACAATCATTATAAACTACTAAGATTATTGAAACTAATATATATATATATATATATATATATATATATATATATATATATACCACTCCCCCCCCCCCCCCCCGTTTGTGCTTTTCTGCAAACATGTCGTTACACAGTAGCCTATATACATTTATAAAACGTATCAACTAGTCATAAGAAATTAAGGAGTTATAACCTAATAATAATTGCGCCTCATGACTTACGCACTAAAACGACGCCGCACTAGTACTGGCTGCGCTAAATACTGCCGTCATTTTTAACACACAATTTTACGGATGAAAACATTTTTGTGTGTTAATCATTACATCTGAGTTGGGGTATTTTTTTAAAATTTGCACTGATATTTTATTACGCAGCTTGTGCCTCGTCTCTACACGAACCCGATAACTTGCACTTCCTCGAGAAAAGTCCCATTGACTCCGTGAACGAACGATCAGTTCGCATTTCCTGCTTGGGTACTTGAATATATAGTTTCCTGTGTGATCTAGACCTAGATCTAGATCTGTGTTGATAGAAGGTAATACAAGCTATTTCAGTCAATTCACGTCTTCTAAAATTACTGGGTTTTCCGTGAAGCAATTGACAGACTTCATGCATTATTTACTTGCACTAGATATTGATTAAAATCATAATTAAATACGACTATAAATAATTATAAATTGCATGCACAGAGTAAAATAGACATCGGTCATTATTGATTATGCTAGCCAGTATATTGTTGTCAGTCTTACTACTTTTTTGGCGTGGTAAAAGGGCGCTACCATGCAGACAAATAATGGTAATACCTGGCATATATAATATAGTCGATACCAGGACTTAAATATAAGGGCGATACCAGGCCTACAGATAAGCGTGATACCATGTCTACAAATAAGGTGTTACTAGGCCTACAAATAAGGGCGATACCATACCAACAGACAAAGGCGATACCATGCCAATAGATAAAGGCGATACCAGGCCTACAGATAAGGGCGATACCGGGCCGACAAATACCAGGCCTACAGATAAGGGCGATACCAGGCCGACGAATACCAGGCCTACAGATAAGGGCGATACCAGGCCTACAGATAAGTGCGATACCAGGCCACCAGACAGACAAATACCAGGCCTACAGATAAAGGCGATACAAGGCCTACAGATAAGTGCGATACCAGGCCACCAGGCAGACAAATACCAGGCCTACAGATAAGGGCGATACAAGGCCTACAGATAAGTGCGATACCAGGCCACCAGGCAGACAAATACCAGGCCGACAAATAAAGGCGATACCAGGCCGACAAACACCATGCCTACAGATAAAGGCGATACCCGACCTACAATGTATTGAACCTTGCCTTGTCTGTCGCACCAAAGAACGCATCCCATACAGGTGGAGTTACACACAAAAACCTTTACGACCCACTCAGTCAATGCCCTGACAAGTAGATCTGTCAGAACCTGGTTCAATATGGCTAAATATAATTCGTTTTTATCATGGGAGGCCGGTTCTGGATAGCAATATATCATCATTAGTACATTAATAACTAGCTATGTATGGGTATCTAGATTGAAAAAAACCCCACATATTTACGTTTGTATGTTAATATACATGTAATGTAGAATTATTCCGATCTCTCCACTCTAAAGAAATGAGGGTTCTGACCATCTAATATATACCGAGTTTTTTTCAGACATCTCTCATGGCGGGAGGGGGGGGGGGGTTGTCCCGGGTTTTTTCTACCGCTCCCCTATAATTTATCCAGTATCCGCCTCCAGAACGTAGCAACCCCCATCCCTGTAAGTTTTCAATTTCCCTCCCTTCTCCCCCTCCCCCAAGTAAAAAAAAATCAAAGCAACCCTGATGATGTATTAGTTGGGTTCATATTTTTGAAAACTAACATACTTTAAATTATCCTACCACCAGATTCCATATATCACAAGAAGACACGAACCAAACCCAGCTTAAAATGGCACAAGCTTCAGCCGCTAACGACTTCGCTCACGAACCTGGTCTCTCAAAGGAGGAGATAGCCAGACGTTACTCGGAGTGGGCGAAAGGTGCACAGTACGAACAGGTAAAGAAAATGTTCACCATTATATTCTATATTCAGCACCTCTATTCCGCTTTACTAAATTTTAAAATTTTCGCTTCATGTCGGTGTAATTGTAGATTAGGGTTATCCTGAATTGACTTAGATAAGCGCCGAAGATGCACACTTAAACAGTTTTCGTATCAATCTCACTTCTGAATGCTTTGAACTGGGTACTTAGCAGGAAGAGGTGTGTGGGATTTACACACAGGAAGTGTGGAAGGGGGGGGGGGGGGGCGTCGTTCTGGTATTATATTTCTCGTTCGTAAATAATACAGGTCTTTAACACGCACACGCACACACAAACACACACACACAGACGAACACACACGCGCGTCTGCCACCTATCTCTCCCCTCTACCCCCCCCCCCCCTTTCAAGCAGTCTGTTCCTAGTTTTTTAAAAAGGATCACAAATAAGATTTTTTTAAACATGAAGATTGTTTAATATTAAGCACTTATTGAGAATGAATAGTTGTAATAATACTGATAAGTTATATGGCCACGAATCAATTTCCTAGAAGACTGAGACGATTTAGAGTTTGAGCATAATGCTGCATCTTTCATGAAAAAAAGGCCGAAACAAAAAATTGGGCTAAAAAGTCTGACAGTCTTGAATAATTAAGAAAAGCGATGTTTAGCTGCATTGAATATGTTACCAAAAATAAACTAATTTTTTTTCTTTAAGCCGCATTAAAAAAGGCCATGATATTTATCCGATGTAATGCCCTACCTGATAGTCGCCCTATATATAGCAAATGCAGTGGATATTAGACAATATTACCATCGATTGAACTTTATGGCAGTCACGTGATTACCTCCCCTCGTCACCCTCCTACAATGTCACTTGATTTACCCCCCCCCCCCCAAATCAACTCACCACAACGTCACTCGATTACCTTCCTTCTTCACCACCAGGGTCACGATTACCTCCCCTAGTCACATCACTACAAGGCCACTTAATTACCTCTCTTTTCCCCCCACACTACAAGGTCACTTAATTACCTCCCTTTCCCCCCACACTACAAGGTCACTTAATTACCTCACTTTCCCCCCACACTACAAGGTCACTTAATTACCTCCCTTTCCCCCCCACACTACAATGTCACTTAATTACCTCCCTTTCCCCCCACACTACAAGGTCACTTAATTACCTCCCTTTCCCCCACACTACAAGGTCACTTAATTACCTCCCTTTCCCCCCACACTACAAGGTCACTTAATTACCTCCCTTTTCCCCCACACTACAATGTCACTTAATTACCTCCCTTTCCCCCCACACTACAAGGTCACTTAATTACCTCCCTTTTCCCCCACACTACAAGGTCACTTAATTACCTCCCTTTTCCCCCACACTACAAGGTCACTTAATTACCTCCCTTTCCCCCCCACACTACAAGGTCACTTAATTACCTCCCTTTTCCCCCACACTACAAGGTCACTTAATTACCTCCCTTTTCCCCCACACTACAAGGTCACTTAATTACCTACCTTTTCCCCCACACTACAAGGTCACTCAATTACCTCCCTTCCCCCCCCCCCCACCCCCCCCCGCACTACAAGGTCACTTGATTACTTCCCCTCTTCAGCATTACACTGCTGACACTCAGGTACACGTTGAAACCTCACATCATATTAAAACCATGCTTAAAAATATGGGAATTCTAAAACAATTTTTTTAAAAAGCCTTATCAATGATAATAGCATGTAAATTTAGATTAGATCGATGAACACGACCTGTCGTCTGCTAGTTGCATGCCCAGGCCTTTGTTTACACTGCATTAGCCTGTTGTATCCTCACATAATTTATGCCTATGTCGTTGTAGCGTTCACACAGCCACATCTATCAGACAATCATTAAAGTGTCTAGAAATTTTTTTTTTTTTACAACCTTCTCTGCCCAATTGAGACAGACATAAAGAGGTGTTAATGGCTTCAACCTTGAAAGTGCTATTTCAAAAAAAAAAAGTTTGGACCAGTTATTCCAATCTAATTTACTTATTTATTTATTTATATTTGAACGTTGGCTTACATTTGACTCAACTGAACTGGGGAAAAAAGCGAAAAGGTTTTAAAAGGGTAGCAACCCTTCCTTCCCCCCCCCCCCCCCCTCCGCCACAACCACCGAGATGTCTCTTTTTTTTAAACAGTGAATCTAGTGACAAGGAGACATTGTTTTGACAATCGTAAAATCTAATACAAACTAGGTCTGCGCGTGAAGCTGGTAATGTATGAAGTGAACCATGTCAGTTAATGTCATGTTCATATGTATGCACAAAAATGTGCTAGATCTAATCTAGATCTTTATTTAGATCTCTAGATCTAGGTCTTTTATTTGTTTTTTAAGGTTTCATTTTTTAAAAGCTTAATTCCCCTAAGTGATGCATCAACTACACATCCCTACCCCTGGTGGTTAAAATTCAAAATGAATAGTATTAAGAATAAAAATCTTTTAATGGACAGTGGGAGAATCTCTGTGAGATTTTACTGAGATTCTAGGAGTCATTTCCCGCGAGATTTAAAAAACCCTCCCCCCCCCCACCATAAAAAACAACAACACCAGCTTCGATAGGTCTTTTAAATTATATTTTACTGTACACCTTGTTACTACACCATATAGATAGCTAGATATTTCTAACTGGGTTATGTCAAGGTAATCTAATATATTGCAGGATAAAAAAGAACCTCCTTTAGGCCTACAGTTTTTCGCGGATCAGTCTGCGCTATTTTTAAATTGAGTCTGTTTTATGCACACAAAGTTAGATTTAGATCGTGCATTAAAAATACATTTGAAGGCTTTGTATTCATCTCTTTACAAATAAATAAAATGAAATCAGATTGCTTGCAATACTTCCATTAAAAACAAATGCAAAGGCTTTAAAAGCAAAAAGGTGTAAGCTTTTTGTGTCGATGAATTAGCCCACCAATCCTTAAAAAAAAAAATCAATTTAATGAAATATGAATTTAAAAATATAACAAAGACAGTGTAATGCAAATAAATCTATTCGTGCTGTACACAACCCCTTACCTAATACAACAAAAGAATCACCTAACCCTTGCTAACAACAAAAGAATCCCCTATTCCTTGCTAACCCCCTTGCTTACAGCCCAAAGCCATATTGTATAATACCATAGCCCTTTGTAATATGACACCAACCCCAGTTTTTTTTGTTATATAACTAAACCAAGTCCTTTTGTTGTATAAAAGTGCATGATCCCTTTTCAAGTGCTTGCAATAACATACTTCTCTTTACCCATCACCCTATTTTAAGTTGTTTTTTTTACCCGATTCTCTTCCCAGGATCTGGGTGAAAAAAACTACCGAGGTCCGTTGATTACAGCAGAGACCATGGCTGAGTTGTTTCCTGATGAAGAAGTCAGGAAGAATCTCTACATTCTTGATGTCGCTGCTGGCACTGGGTTGGTTGGTAGTCAGGTCAGTTTAATACATTGGTAATATGCCAACTAGATAGGTGTTTTCTTCATGAAACAAGTAACTATAATTAACGAGCCCATTTTAGTATTTTTTAGTTAATATTACCCAGAAAATAGATTCTTATTTAAATTTCTAAAGAAAAAAGTCCGTGTAGTAAATTTTCTGTAACAAGGAAATTGTTTCCCCCTCAAAAGATTGATACATATTGAATACGTGACAGTTTTACTATTCACTGTTAAAATGATTATTTCCCTTTGAAATTTTTTACGAATTTTAATTCATTTCAAAATGTTTTTTTTTTCACTCTACCAGCTACAGCGCAAAGGTTTCAGTAAAATCGATGCTCTTGAGCCTAGCGAGGGAATGCTAAACCTGGCCATATCAAAGAACGTTTACACTCGCACATTCCAGAACTTTCTGGGTGAAGACTCCACTAATATTGAGCCTGGTGAGATAATTTAATTAACTTGCTAATCAATAGTTTTAATCATTATTATATATTTTATGAAATAGACAAAAAAAAATGCCTTCAGTTTTGCCTGACAAAAATATTAACAAATCTATTGCACAAATGCTGGTTTTAAATATAATTTACATTCACATTTCTGGGCAGAGTTTCTTCCAGGCATCTCTTCGGGGGGGGGGGGGGGCGGCGAAGAAAGTCTACCCCCCCCCCCCGAACGAAATGGAATTTATATAGAAAATATATACTTTTGACTGTGTCCGCCCCCCCCCCCCGGATATTGTTGTCCGCCCCCCCCCCCCCGAAAATTGTCGTCCGCCCCCCCCCCCCCCCCCCCGAAAATTTCAAGTGCGACCCCCGAAAAAAAAATGTCTGGAAGAAACACTGTTTCTGGAATAACTCAAGGTAGACAACCAGAAAAATCTGTCACAAAATGTTGAATTGTCATTGAAATTAAAACCGTTTGATATAAGCATCATTTAGTTTAGGTTGAATTCAGTCCACAACAAAGATATAACCACAAAACACTGTTTGTTTAACCTATATTTACTCAGTAACCAGACAGATAATATCAGTTACCAGATAAGTTTTTTTTGTTTGCCTTTGTCTTATAAAATTATTGGCTATTTTCATCCAACTTAATGAGTACTTACTTTCATCCTATTGTATAATCCATTATTTTCAGATTACTACGATGTTGCTATAATTTGTGGTGGAATGGGTCAAGGTCACATCCCATGTAATGGGATAGATGAGCTTGTTAGGCTAGTGAAGCCAGGTATTTTTTTATATTACACAGTCAGTTTTATTTGGTTGATGGGCACCTATAATCAGTGATAGAATCAAATTTATTGTAAATTATGATTTTTGTCCGCTTACTATTTAAACAAATATTAAACTTAATGTTTGGAAACAAATATTAATCTTAAAAAATAAAAAATAAAAATTATTAAAAATAATTCAACATGAATCATAATAAATTCAAATATTGACATTTGTTTCTCAGTTTAAAAAGATATACTGATACAATTATGACATACTTCACCAATACATTTCTCCCCGCAGGTGGTCACGTGATGATTGTTATGCGTGAATCATATCTGACAACCGTTGAAGAATACAAAGACAGACTAGAGCCACACATGAAAGAACTGGAACTGGATGGCAAGTGGGAGGCGGTCTCCCGAACTGTGGTGCCCAAGTACTCGTTCGACAACAATGGCGTCATCTATATATTTAAGATTAAAAATAATTCCATAGTTGAAGGATGATTTAATGTTGTTGTTAAATCAAAGTTTTAATTTATTTCTTTTACATCCCTGATGGTATTTATAAATATGATGTATTTGCTAACTAGGAAAATGTTTTCCTAGCACCTGGCAAAACTGAGGGTAACTTTTGGTTTTTATAAAATTGAATATAATATCTTATATATATATATATATATATATATATATATATATATATATATATATATATATATATATATATATATATATATATATATATATATATATATATATATATATATATATATATATATATATATATATATATATATTTATATATATATATATATATATATACATATATATATATATATATATATATATATATATATATATATATAATATAAATACAGGGTGTATTTGTTTATGTTCAATGCTTTTTATGTGAGTGGATCTCAAGCATAACGTTTTGGCACAGCTGTTGATTAATGTGTCTCTATATTATAATTTTTCAGGTATCAATAATGTGGGCCAACTGAGTAACATTATTAAACATTATTTAAATATGTTTTTCATAAATAGATAAATATGTACTTGATACATATATATTATTTATATAAATAATTATATATATATAAATAATTATATATATGTGTATATATATATATATATATATATATATATATATATATATATATATATATATATATATATATATATATATATATATATATATATATATATATATATATATATATATATATATATATATATGCTATACATATATATGCTATAATCCAAAAAAAGAGTATTTTTTTAAAATCTATAGACATTAATAAGGTATATTACCTTTTGACAAATTGCTTATGGTATAAAGGTTAGTCGTGAACTTCAAATTTCCACCCCTGACAACATCAACCTGCCACCCCTGACAATATGACCCTGCCACCCCTGACAACATCAACCTGCCACCCCTGACAATATGACCCTGCTACCCCTGACAATATGAGCCTGCTACCCCTGACAATATGAGCCTGCCACCCCTGACAATATGACCCTGCCACCCCTGACAATATCAACCTGCCACCCCTGACAACATCAACCTGCCACCCCTGACAACATCAACCTGCCACTCCTGACAACATCAACCTGCCACCCCTGACAACATCAACCTGCCACTCCTGACAATATGACCCTGCCACCCCTGACAATATGACCCTGCCACCCCTAACAATATGACCCTGCCACCCCTGACAATATGACCCTGCCACCCGTGACAATATGAGCCTGCCACCCCTGACAACATCAACCTGCCACCCCTGACAATATGACCCTGCCACCCCTGACAATATGACCCTGCCACCCCTGACAACATCAACCTGCCACCCCTGACAACATCAACCTGCCACCCCTGACAATATGACCCTGCCACCCCTGACAATATGACCCTGCCACCCCTGACAATATGACCCTGCCACCCCTGACAATATGACCCTGCCACCCGTGACAATATAAGCCTGCCACCTCTGACAATATCAACCTGCCATCCCTTACATAACCTCACCTGAAATTATCCATTGCTCTAATGCCTTTCATTTGTTTACTTTCCTGTACCAATAAAAAGTAAAATGCTTACACATAATCTGTATTTGTTATAAATGTTGAGTTATTTTATGACACCATGAAACTACATTTCAAGGAATTCAAATCTTGCTGTAGACAAAAATTCCATGTACTGAGTTGTTGCTCATCCTATCCTTGGAATTATTGAATAAAAATACCTTTTTCGTTTTGATGGATTATTAAAGTGTTTTCATGACTATTTGATGTGTCAGAAAATAAATTCTAATCACAACATTTGTATTTATTGTTTCATTGTTCTTGTGTGTGCTAAACCAAAAATATAATTTTGTATAAGAATTATTTTCAAAATCTACATTTTATAATTGTAATGGGTACATAAAGTTACTTTAATTAATTTAAACACAGTCTTAGAAAATTTTAAAATTTAAAACAAGTATGAATCGGATTTGGAAATTTTATGAATGGATGTATATATTTACCTGTGATTGTAGAAAAATCACTGTCTAAATTTAAAAAAAAAAGATAAAGTTACTTCCCTTTTCTTAATATTGTTAGTTAATCACTTATAGAAATGGAATGAATAAGGGAAATAATCATTGGTACTACCTCTGATTGTTCTGCATTTCTATATGTATTTAATTATAATGACTGCTTGAGTGCAATGAATATTGGTTCTATGAATGTTATCTTGTCGAAATAAAATACAACTCACTAAACACTTCACCTTCTAACAACACGACATTTTAACAATATGAGTTTTTATTTCTTAGTTCGGCAGACATAGGTCGAATAGGTTTTTTTTTAGCGTTATCTGTACACTAATCTCTATGTGGAAGTCACACAATAACGCTTAGATAAAACTATCGAACAAATTACTATTACTGATTTAAATGTTTAAAACAATTGATTAAAAAAAAACTGTTTGAGGACTGTATAGATATAGATGTTTGAAAGAGAAGAATGTTTGCTTTGAGGTGTCTCATTGTAATAACATAACTTTTCAGATTGCTTAAAATTTGTATAATTTTAATTCTCTGTAATCACAAATTTATTTCAGCTCTACTTAAAAACCCAAATTCTACACCCCCCCCCCCCGCCCCCTCACCCACCAGGCCGAGGGAAAAAAATCCCTTGAATCATCATTTAATTACACATTTGCATTTTCTTGTTGTTTTTTATTTATTTTTAAATTTTTTTTTATATTTAGACGTTTTGTATTAGATCTATGTATAAGTAAACCATCTTAAATGAATGAAAGTAGGCTACAAGTAAGAAAGAAATATTACTATTGTAAATCTGTATCAGTCCTCACAAGCCGATGATGAAAACTGTAATACTAAAGCGAACACACAACTGACGCTGTAAATTACATGAGGCCAAAACAAAAAAAACACAAAAAACTGTTCATGCAAGCTAAACCAGTTTTAAACTCAAACACGTTGACTCAACCTTGTTGATTTAATAACCAAAGTTAAGACACGTGGGTTCAACTGTATTTCGAAATCTGTCGCCGTGTTGCCAGCCCTACTCCCCCCCCCTCCCCTACTTATAATGAAGTCACCTAGTGCGGTCTGCACCCTGCTGTGTGGCACTATTCCACTTTGTTGATCCCATAGAACAAAATTTTGCCGTCTCGTGTAAGGGAGAAAACCCAATATTAGAAGAGGATGTTTTCTTGGATTACCTCCCCTAAAGAGTTTTTTTTTTAAAGCAAAGAAAAAAAAAGACTAGCTATTCCTTTGTGCAAGGTTTTGTTGCAAATACTAAAACACGTTCTTTGGAGAGCTAAACAAGTTGTTGACAGAGCTAAACCCGTTGTATAGAAATCTTAAAACAGCTGCTGACAGAGCTAAGACCGTACCTGAAAGGGAAAGAGCTAAAATATAACTGTTGCTGACACAGCTAAACCCTTTGTTGAGAGAGCTAAACAATTTGTAGTGAGAGCTAAATACGTTTTTGGAGATAATTAAACTCGTTGTCAACAGAGTTGAACTCTTTGTCTATAGGACTTTAGCCGTTATAGTATTGGCTCTTTCGATTGTAATTAGCGAAAATGTGGAAATGTTTAATGATGTATATAGACTTTATATCCCATACACTTTATCCCCAAATAATTATTTGGCTAAATATAAACGAATCAGAGCTAGGTGATAGAATTGTCATAATTGTAACTGATTTCAACAACATCCTATTGTATTAATGTCACTTGAAAAAGTTGAAATAAGGATTATTGATGAAAGCGAAATTTTAATACTGTCCTTTTTACGAACCGCAGTTTAAAATAGCGACCTTATTATTTGTACTTAAAAAAAAAATACGGGCAAGGGCACGCCATTTTTTCAATGTCCTTGGGCCCCAGACGGAACTGCCCCCCCCCCCCCCCCACCCCAGCATTCAATTTTTGGAAATTGGGTGTAGGCTACAGCTGATCAGCTATGCCTTTTAGGGGAGATCACTCGGAATTTAAGGACATTTTTCATTCTCCGCTTGAAACAGCTAAACTGTTGATTGTAATTTCGTAAATCTTCCATTTTAAGTAAATTTTGTTTGTACATTATATTTGCTCACATAGAATATTTCTTGTGCTTCTACTAGAGCAATAACACTTTTTTAAAGTGAATATTACGGATGTAAGCAACTCAACCATGCAGTACATGTAATGTGTGGTGTTTTATTGGTTGATTAAACATAGTTTATAATTGATCGCCGCTTTGAAACCTGCTAGTTGTTTTAATATAGGCAAGATGCGGGTAACTCCGTCAATCTTCTTGTGATTGGTTATCTCCCTGTAGAAGCATCCACGTATCCAAGGCAAATGAATAAAATGGCGGCGGTTGTTGTACTAGTTATACAGCTTCACTTACCTCCCAGTTGTAAATAATTTTTTCCCTGGGTTCAACAACCAAAAACATATTGTCCCTGAACTTTGAACCCGTAAACTCTGCTTACTGTTGACATCTACTATTTACAGTGGCGGAACTAGAAAAAATGTACACAAAATTTGATTTACTGGCCTTTACTAATTTAGTTATCGACTTTGATCAGGAGTTTTAAACCCCCACTAATTGACGTTAAAATCAATACAATGCTAGATGGTGGAAACAAACGAAAGCTGAATCGAGGACAGTAAATTGACTTTAATAGACATGTACGATAGGATATTACTGTACAGCGAGTTGTCAAGTCATAGGTGTGTACAACAATCTATGTAACGTGATATGTATACAGCAAACTATGTGTACAGGGGTCTGCGTAACGTGTTATGTATACAGTAAAATATGTGTCGTACAACGGTCAGTGTAGCGTGTTATGTACACAGTAAAATATGTGTATTACAACGGTCTGTGTAAATTGTTATGTACGCAGCAAAATATTTGTACAACAATCTATGCAGCGTGTTATGTATACAGTAAAATATGTGTATTACAACAGTCTGTGTAAATTGTTATGTACGCAGCAAAATATTTGTACAACAATCTATGCAGCGTGTTATGTATACAGTAAAATATGTGTATTACAACGGTCTGTGTAAATTGTTATGTACGCAGCAAAATATTTGTACAACAATCTATGCAGCGTGTTATGTATACAGTAAAATATGTGTACAAT